TCCTAAGTCCAAAATCTCCTAACAAAGCTATCCGAACCATCAGAATTCACATCCGAGATCTTCTACACATAAGTCAACATTCGGTTGACTTTTTCCAACTTAAGCTTCAAAATTAGAGACTAAGTGTCTCATTCCACCACAAGACCACTCCGAACACAGAACAACCAACACGATATGATGAAATATAGCTGAACAACACATAAAGAAGCAGAAATGGGGGAAGCGGGGCTGTAACTCATGAAACGACCGGCCGGTTATACTCATGGTTCTAGCCAAATATATTAGTGCACCAATTGCACTAGACACAAAAACAAATCATGTACGTCATGGTCGCTCTAATCTACATAAGGATTTGCCGAAGTTTTATTTAATAAATTTCTTGGGAACCTTAATATGCTTCAGAACAATTTAAATCCTTCAAGGATTTTCATTATATGCATATCAAATGTATTGTCAGACCAAAATCTGAAATGACTCTATTCACCACAGTAGAACATGTCTCCATATAACTAATACCAAGATTTACGAAAATATTGTGCCACAAGTTGTCTTTATGTCTATCGACTTAATTTTTCATTTCACTTTTTGCACAATGGACTATCCGTCCAATTTCATATTTTTTTGGTGAAGTCAATTTTCATTGTGTATTTTTCATTTGGCCAATCATTTGTCTGTCCAAATTCCATGACAGATTTGAGCTCAAGATCCTCGTCAATATTAATAATATTGAGCGCTACATTATATCAATAATATCGTTGACGATCATTTTATATCGGTTCCATTGTTACCCAATAAAGACATAACTTATTGAGAATTCTTTATCTCATTATTTTCAGGTACCTGAGTCTCTCCCATGAGGTCTTATGAAGTGATATATCATGGTGCTCTTATAAAGCACTTGCCTCCTTATTATGACCTTCTTGAACATTTGCTTCTCTCCTTCTTTAAGGAGTTTTATCTTTGGAACCGATTAGTCTATTACGCTTCATGCGTTCCATAGACTATGTCCATTATAGACTTTATTTTATTTGGAGCATTAGTAGCTGAAATATGACATTTAGTTTTGGGTCAGCAAATGCGCATGGCAATATTTTGCAAATGAATTATCACTTGAACTTCAAGTTCATATTTTCTTGTATGAGGATCTAAGTGTACTCATAATAATTCATTCCATGTATTACTTTTTTCAGCTGCTCATTTTCTCCCCCTAATGTTGGGATCACCAACACATATCCCCAACCTTCTTTGGGGATCAATCTTTGTGCATTGTGGTGGCACAATTAAATCATATAGTACATCCACATTTCTAGATGAAAATATTTGGTTCCTGACCTTGAACCAATTGTGATGGGGAGAATGTATCACAACTTGTTGGCTAGATGCGTACAAGTGCTGTTGTATATTAAATAATACACTTCATACAAAATTTCTATTTGGAGTATTGTTCTCATAACCAATGGTTTAGCTATAATTGGAGTCATACAATTTCTACTAAACCAACTTGGATTTAAACCAGCATTATCATCACAATTTACATTCTGGAATTGTGCTCTAATAATTTGAGCAAGCAACCTTGCAAAAGCCAAATTGCAAGTTGATAACCAACGCACATGTGAACATACAATAGATGCATCTATTAAAATCATATAATAGTAAACGGTCCACATGGCAGGTGACTGGGCCCATATATATATCGCCTTTTATTCGTTCGAGAAATCAAGGAATTCAATCCCAACCTTAGCTGGTATATCATGAGAATAAGCAACACAAGAGAATTCTTGAAGAATATTATATTTCTTCAATATATGCCAACGTGAATTCTCATTCAATTTTCACATCATAATTGAACCAGGATTGCCAACCGGTATGCCAACTGATATTTATTTTAGTAAACATCTAATTTACTATGGCATGTGATTCCATCATCATGCTTATATTTGTGTAGTACAAATAGAAGAAAAATCGGATAACCTTTTATATTTACCCAGTGTGATTATAGTAATATGAAGTTATTCAATCTTCCTTTCATTTATAGTCTCAAATGCCCACCACTTTGGCTAATATATTTGAAACTCAAAAAATTTCTTTTGAGGCTTACTACAATATAGTGTCATGAACAATTTCATTCATCCGGATAGTAACCAATTAGTTCTTCCGGAGCTCTTCATTAATTTTGTACTATATGATCTTTTTTCACACCATCCATATGGTGAATGTCTCCTTCACGGAAAAATTATATCATAATAATTATCATGGTCAAAATCACATAAGCAAAATCCGTTCTTGTTTTACTTTTGCCTTTAATAACTTTTTATAAGGCACGGCAAAATATTTTTGGCGTACACATATACGTGACCAATGACATAGTATGTAACCACATTATAAAATTCATTATCTTTATTTCTCTCAAACCTCCCTTAGAGGTGAGTTGTGGTATTTATCCAACCATACATAAGCACATTATTATGCATAATCTTTATCACATGAAGTATATATTTTCACATTCACTTTCAGGAATGAGTCTGCATTTACAATGCTTATCACAAGTCACAATTTCAAGTAATGGACTATACTCATATGAGCGTGTCTCGTATTAACAGACCACGTCGATACATATTTCCTTCACCTTTGAAGGATTATTTCGAGAACCCTTATTGTTCTCCTTTTTACAATTACCATGATGATGACTATTATTAGTTTGATCTTTTGCACGGCCATGTTCATTGGTCAACCACTTGTCTTCATTTAGACTTATTATGCACCGCTATCACATTCACTTCAAGAACGGAGCAAATCAAGTGGGACAAACTTCATGCTTTTTATCAAAAGCATAATATTTATTTGCCTCAGTCATCATTATATCATCAGTATGGTGCACTGGGATTCAAACCCAATGTCTTACCCATATAACGACATATAAGCTATAATAAGTTGGAACTCGAACTCAACTCTTACAATCATGGAGCATCAGGATTCAAAACCCGATGTCTTATTCTCATGGTGCAGTGGACTGGATTTACCGCTTTACCCTCAATCAATGGCATAATAGGCTAAACAATATTGAGATTCACTCTCAAGCCTTAATTTTAATCACATGCCAAGAAAGTTATACACAGCTAAGTTGCAACTTATCAAATCAATTTTACTTTCTTAAATAAGTGTACAAATCTCAAATCAGCGTAAGGTTTTATTAATTATTTGTAGCATCTATATGAAATATAGACATATGAAATACAACTGTTTGTGGTCAGAACATTTCTTCTAACTTCTATTAGATTTTAAGAAAGCAAATTTGATTTTATTTAACGCCACAGACTTTCCTTCACTCACTTCAACCAAGCAATTAGTAAATCAATTTTTCAAAAGTAAAACATATAGGTAACAACACAATATAGTACAAATACATAAATTCATCATTTATATTACCTGAAAAGTGACACTATAGGTAATAACTTACCAGCTGTAGCTTCTGCATTATTCATACAAAATACTTAAAATGGTGAGCCAGTAGCAAACATCAAGTAGGCCATGGATACTCAAAAATACCTCTTCTAGTAGTCATACTAATCGATGCTTGCTTATTCCATGATACGACCATAAGTTATGAAGTATACTTTCTCAATAGCTGGTTTGTTTTCCGAATTTCAAAGAAATAATTGATCAACCTAGATAAAGATGTGAAGTATTTCTTGTTTTCTTTAAGATGATTTATGCTTCTAATCAGTATGACCAAAATATATTTTTTCCTTGCTATTACAGTAATAAGTAGCACTCACAGTACGTTAAATATTTGATAGTTTCTAACAAAAAATATTTATTGCTTACTCGCCTGATATGAAGAAAAACAAAGCATAATGTTTACCTTTTCTTCTATTGGCAAAAATGGGCACGTCATAACGACACCAGACAACTGTCAGTGTAGAATCAAATTAGAAAAATCAAACTCGAGCTCATAATAGTTTAGAGACTCGTGCTGATAATGTATTAAGAAACTAAATCAAAATAACAATATGAAACAAGAAAATAGACAAGAATGTAGAGAGCAAGAGATGAGAGCTTCTTATTTCTTTCAAGTGTTTCAAGTGTGTTACAAAATGACTTCTCATCCTCTATTTATAGTACTACATAGAGGTATACCAAAAGAATTTCATAAATATGCCATTAAGCATTTGAGATCATGCTGGAAGATCATGGGGGAGGTGTGGAAGTTACAACCATAACTCCATAAGTATTAGAGTAGTGGGAGTTATGGAGATAATGGAGAAGAGTAGTGGGTATTATTCATTTGGTGGTTATGAACATCCACTATAATTATATTTTATAACAGCTGGGGGTTATTAATATTTTTGACCAAGCGACTAAATACGTAACTTTCGCTAAATTCTTCAATATCTAATATGACCCTTTAACTACTTATGGTGTATCCTTTCTTCTTTGACGCCAAATCATACAGCTGATTTCCCTAATCTTTTTCTAATGCTGAAGTTCCACAGATATAGCTAAGTAATTAAAAGTTGTGTTCAAAAAAGTTTAAGTTTTTCAATGGGATGATCACACGTATTTAACATTAAGTATGTTCTGAAAATGGGCCACAATGCACCAACCTTGTTTAGTAAAGTGAAAATAACCTTATAAAACCTATGGCTGAAGGTTAATTAGTCCGGCCTAATTACCATGTTATGTTTGTCGAAATTGGAGGTCAATTATCCATGGACCTCCATTGATGAGCTAGGTAGAGTTTTCACAGAACATTCTAGAAATGAGAGAATTTGAAAATGAAGACTAAAAGTTGTATTATCTCATGTCCAAAATATATTATATACACGTGTAAGAGGAGAAGAAAATAATGTGGCTGCTAACTATGAAAACTAACTCAAATATTTCACTAACTTCAACTTAACTACTCAGTTAACTAACCCAGCTGCCTAGTTAACTAACTCAGCTACAACTACACATTTATAAATATAATAGTATTACATCAACTATTCTCAATACCCCCCTCAAGTTGGAGGTGAGGAAGTCACAGCCAACTTGCTGAGAAGATCAGAGTGCTTCACTCCTGTGAGATCCTTTGTGAGGATGTCAGCCAATTGAGCAGAGGTGGAAACATGTTGCAGTTCAATCAGCGTTTCTTGTATCTTATCCCGGACAAAATGACAATCTACCTCTATATGTTTTGTCCTCTCATGAAACACAGGGTTTCTTGCAATATGAACAGCAGCTTGACTGTCACAAAATACAGTTATAGGGTCTGCACATATGACTGTCAATTCTTCCAGTAATCTCCTTATCCACACTAATTCTCCCACAACTTTTCTAATCGACCTATACTCTGCCTCATCAGAGGACAATGAAACAGTAGTTTGTTTCTTTGATTTCCAACTTATAGGACTGTCTCCAAGCAGCACAATGTACCCACTCACATATTTTCTTGAGTCAGGGCAAGCAGCCCAATCTGAGTCACAATAAGCATTTACATTATATCTAGGATCATTTGACAGGAAGATACCCAAAGTGGGGTCTTTCTTCAGGTATCTAAGCACATGAACAGCTGCTTTAAGATGAGGTTCTCTTGGTGCTTGCATGAATTGGCTCAGATGCTGGACACTATAGGATATGTCCAGTCTTGTGTTTGTCAAGAAATTCAGCTTCCCAACTAATTTCCTGTAGTATCCTGGATCAGGCAAGAGAGTTCCTTCATCTTTGCTCAATTTGATAGTAGAATCAAGAGGGGAACTGATAGGAGAGTATGCCAAACAGTCATACTCTCTCAGCAGATCCATGGTGAACTTCCTCTGACAGATTAGCACTCCATCATCCTTGTATAGCATTTCTAATCCCAAAAAGTAGTGCAATTTCCCAAGGTCTTTTATCTTGAATTGATTGTGTAGAAAGGTCTTCAGTTCTGTGATTTCCTCCAGATTGGTACCAGTTAAAATTCAATCATCTACATAAACAGCTACAAAAACTGCTGAATTTCCCAGCTTCTTGTAGAACAATGAGTGATCACTGTCTGAGTGCTTGAAACCCCTGAAATGTAGGGATTCTGTCAATTTGTCATACCACTGTCTGCTAGCTTGTTTTAGACCATATAGTGACTTCCTAAGTCTGCATGCTAGATTCCAGTAGGTACTATTAAACCTTGTGGTACCTCCATATACACCTCTTCATGCAGGTCTCCATGCAGAAATGCATTGTTGATATCTAATTGATAGAGATTCCATCCTCTTTTTACTGCAATACTGATTAATGTTCTAACTGTGGTCATTTTTACCACTGGTGAGAAGGTTTCTGTGTAGTCAATCCCTGCTTCTTGTATGTAACCCTTCACTACCAGCCCTGCTTTGAACCTTTCCACACTCCCATCTGCCTATGTTTGATCTTGTATACCCACTTGCAGCGTATAGTCTTCTTTCCTGCAGGTAACTTAACTAGATCCTAAGTATGGTTAGCATATAGTGCTTCAAACTCCTGTGTCATTGCCATTTGCCAAGCAGGATTCATAGATGCTTCCTCATAAAAGGATGGCTCACAATCATGTGAAATGTTTCTAATTAATTGCTGACTTTCAAGTTGTAAAACATTAAATGAAACATGGTGTTTGTTATTGCAGATTGCATTGAAGGATGTGGTACTGGTATGAAGATCAGGTTCTGTGTTTTGGGGTTGTAGTGTTGGTAAGGAATACACATAGTCCTTGAGGTGTGCAGGGGTAGTATGTGTTCTGCCTGACCTTCTGGGATTTAGGGGTTTCATTTGGAGGTTGTTAGGTTCAGTAATTGGAGGGCTGGTATTATTTGGAGGCTGTTAGCTTCAGTGATTTGAGGACTGGTAGTCTGTGTTTGTGTAGATTGTTGTTGGAAAGTAGGACTGTTGGACTGGTTGGGTGTTGCTGAACTAGGTGAGGCCAATGGTGAACTAAGTGGATGAGTGGGAATAGTATCAACTGCAGGTCTATCACTGGCAGAAATTGGTACATCCTTATCATGCATTCCATAAACATTTAGGTTCCTAGAGGTAGAATGGCAATTGGGTGAACTGGAATTTAATAGATGTAACACTGAGGGAAAGCTAGAATGCTCAGGAGAAATTGCAAAGGGAAAAATGATTTCATGAAACACTACATCTCTGGATATGTATATTTTCTTTGTGGCTAAGTCTAGGACCCTGTAACCCTTAGTATCAAATGGATAACCTACAAACACATGAGGAGTGGCTCTTGGCTCAAACTTATCTCTGTGGGTTTTCTGTGTACAGGGGTAGCATAAACACCCAAAACTCTTGAGTTGTGAGTATTTGGGCTTCTTATTGTATAGGAGTTCATAGGGACTTTTATTGTTGAGGACATTGGATGGAAGTCTGTTTACTATGAAGGTGGCTGTTAGGATGCATTCTCCCCAGTACCTAATAGGTAGTTTGGACTGGTAAAGGAGGGCTCTTGCTGTCTCAAGTAAGTATTTGTGCTTTCTTTCCACCACACCATTCTGTTGTGGTGTGTATGACAAGTTTTCTGATGAATGATTCCCTTTTCCTGAAAGAAGGTCATATTTTCATTGTTGACAAATTCTAGACCATTATCAGATCTAATGATCTTAACAGTGGTGTCAAACTGATTTTCAATCAGGGATAGAAAACCTTTAATGGCATGGAAGGTATTGCTTTTGCAGCTTAGGAGGTGAGTCCAGGTTGATCTACTGAAATCATCAACCATGGTAAGAAAGTATTTGTAATTGTTATGTGTTGGTGTGTGATAGGGCCCCCAGTCCACATGTAGCAATTCAAATATCTTAGTGGATGAGGTGGTTCTTTCAGGAAATGGCAATCTAGTCTGTCTGGCCATTGGACAGATTGAGCAAATAAAGGGCTGTTTGGGGCAAACCTGACTGGTAGAGTAGGTATTTTTCTCATTTTTACAAAAGGTACATGTCCTAGCCTATTGTGCCACAAATAATCAACATTACTTCCAGAGGATGCAGAACAAACAGAAGAGGAAATTGAACTAAAATGATCAGTTTTATTGCATGAGTGGACATTATTTACAGTTGATAATGAATGTGATGGTTGAATGTGATCCTTCTTACTACTAGCATTCTTGTCAGGAATGGAAATACAAGAATGAGACTGACTAGAAATAATAGATGGACTCAAGTTTGAACAGTTGTGACATTTTGAGCAAAGGAAGTACAAACCACTTCTTGCCTTACCAATCTCCAGAGGCCTCTTCATTGAAGGGGCCTGCATTAGACAAAGGTACTTTTTGAAATTAACCATTCAATCAAGATGCACTGTTAAAGAATGAATTGAGATAAGGTTGTATTTGAAACTAGGTACATATAAGACTCGAACTAAAGTCAACTTAGGACTGAGTAAAGCATCACCAATTTTTGTCACTTTCACCTTATATCCATTGGGTAAAGTAACAAGGAAGGGATAAGGTAAGGTCCTAATGTTAGTGAGGAAAGATTTTCTATATGTCATGTGGTTTGTAGCTCCACTATCTAGTATCCACAAATCAGCAATTGAACTTGAACATTTACACATAGTTGTTTCAGCTATCTCTTTATAAGTACAGCAAGCTAGAATACCTGCAAAGTTAACAGCTCCACTTGTGATCATGTTTGGATCCTCTGTTGCACTATTGACCTTGAAGTTTTCCAGCAAATTCAGCAACTGGTTGTATTATTCTCTTGTCAGGTTCTGAAGGTTCTGATTTTGATTCCTGCTCTCAGCATCTTCATTGTTGCATACTTGTATTTCCTCACACCGACCATGTACATTTGTGGCAGATCCAGCATTTCTTCCCCTTGTAAATTTGAAGTCTTGTGGAAATCCATGCAATTTATAGCATTTTTCTTTGGTATGTCCCCGCTTCTTATAGTAATCACAGAACAACTTGGACCTATTTGGTGGAAATGCAGGTCTATAAGAGTTCTGTCCTACAGTGTTGCCCTGTGGGTTATAATTGGTCCTAAATCTGTTATTTCCTGGCCCATTGACATTTAGAGAAGTGGACTCCATGATTAGGTGATTATTTGGCCTAATTTCTCTCTGCTTTTCCTCTTGGATAAGAATAGAAAATGCCTGTGCAATACTAAGCAAAGGGTTCATCATCAGGATACTTCCCCTGACAACTGTGTAAACTTCATTGAGCCCCATTAGAAATTGAATTAACCTTCGATCCTGTTCTGCTTTATACATATTTGCCTTGGCACCATATGTGCACTGGCATCTACACTGGGCATGTGCACTCAAGGTATTAAGCACCTCCCATAGCTTTTTCATTTTGGTGTAATATCTAGTTATGTCTAGGGTTCCTTGATTTAGGTCATTAATTTCCTTTTGCAACTGATAGAGTTTCGCTCCGTTGGTCTGATCATACCTGTCCTCGAGCTCTTGCCATAGTTCCTTTGCGTCACTCACATATTGTAAGCCATCAGCCAAGTCCTTTGAGAGCGAGTTTAGAATCCATGACGTCACCATGTCATCGCACCTCGCCCATTGATCATAGCTCGCCTCTCCGGCATTAGGTTTCTTACACTTTCTGGTGATAAATCCGACCTTGTTCTCCATAGAGAGGGCTCTAAGAACACCTCTCCTCCAGGATCTGTATCCGGTGCTGTCAAATGCTACTGGTACCAAAACTGTTCCAGCACTTTCCGATGGATGCATGTATAGTGGATTAGTTGAATCCAAAACTGCAGCGATATCTTGTGTTTCTTTGTCTCCAGCCATGAGATGATGCAGAGGATATTAGAGGTGTGAAATTGATTGAGGATTGAGAGCTCGTGAATCAGCAGAAAGAGGAAATGAAAACAAATTTCGATCTGCGATTGCAAATCGGTTGAAAGAAGTGAAGAAGAGGAATGAAAAATTGAGATGCAAATCGAAGTCGGATCGAACATTAAGAGCTCCTCTCTGATACCATGTCGAAATTGGAGGTCAATTATCCATGGACCTCCAGTGATGAGCTAGGAAGAGTTTTCACAGAACATTATGGAAATGAGAGAATTTGGAAATGAAGACTAAAAGCTGTATTATCTCATGTCCAAATCGTATTATATACACGTGTAAGAGGAGAAGAAAATAATGTGGCTGCTAACTATGAAAACTAACTCAAATATTCCACTAACTTCAACTTAACTACTCAGTTAACTAACCCAGCTGCCTAGTTAACTAACTCAACTACAACTACACATTTATAAATATAAAATAGTATTACATCAACTATTCTCAATAATGTTACAGCACAAAACAGATTTGCTCTTAGTGAGAACTTAATTCTTATATATTTCGTGCATTACTCGTTATTTTCATTGTAATATTTTAACTTCATGATCAAAGTTTTGTATTATAGAGTTGTACTTTTATTATCTCAATAAAGGTGGTGGAGGGAGAGGTCACTGGTCAGTTTGCAGCTTTTGAAAAATTATATATAATAAAAAAGGAAATTGAAACATTTAAAGGGGGCTTACGTCTCATAGATTTAGAGGGTGTTTGGCTAAGCTTATAAGCTGGTCAAATTGGCTTATAAGTACTTTTTGGTTTATCTACGCGTTTGTTAAAATTAAAAGTGCTTATAAGTTAAGTGCTTATAAGCCAAAAAAATAAGTCAAAAGCCATAAGTTAGTCTCCCCCAACTTATCAAATTTCAGCTTATAAGCAGTTTAAGTTTGACCAAAATATTTACTATTCTATCCCTAAAATACTTCTTTTTAAAACAAAACTCTTCGTATACCCAATTCTTCATCTGCATATTATTAGTTTCAGCACTTTTATCCAAACACGTAACTGTTTATTTTTTAAATCAGCTTCAGCACTTAAAAGTGCTTTTCAGCACCTAATGCTTATCAGCAACTCTAAATCAGCTAAGCCAAACGGAGTTTCAGCACTTTTATCCAAACACGTAACTGTTTATTTTTAAATCAGTTTCAGCACTTAAAAGTGCTGAAACTGATTTAAAAAATAAACAGTTACGTGTTTGGATAAAAGTGCTGAAACTAATAATATGCAGCTGAAGAACTGGGTATACGAAGAGTTTTGTTTTAAAAAGAAGTATTTTAAGGATAGAATAGTAAATATTTTGGTCAAACTTAAAGTGCTTATAAGCTGAAATTTGATAAGTTGGGGGAGACCAACTTATGGCTTTTGGCTTATAAGCACTTAACTTATAAGCACTTTTAATTTTACCAAACGCGTAGATAAGCCAAAAAGTACTTATAAACCAGTTTGACCAGCTTATAAGCTTAGCCAAACACCCTCCTAAAGTGGCTTATGCAATAAGAACAAACTTGTTAAATTCAAGGAAGAAAAAGTCACTGTCCTTGTATACCATAAGACTTTCCGTAGACAAAATGTTGATTTGACTTCAAAAACTATACGAATTGTTTGTCTTGAATCATAGACTCCTTCTTAACCTCATAGTTATCGCTAGCTGGCATTTCATTTTATGAAAACAAAGGATTTCACTAAGAAACATTCATTAAACACAAGAAGAAAAATACATGGAGTACAAGACACATGATTGCTTTTAATTAAAGGGATATAATTGCATTTTAAGATATGGTATCCTTGTTTTTTGAAATATTTACGGCACCTAAAAAAAATAATCTAGGTGGAGTGAGCTCATGAATATATATTAAAGGACGAGAAAGTAGAAGAGGAAAACTTTTTTGCTACATTAGTTGGAACCTTGCACTGAAGTAATATGACATGGCAACAATTAGTTAGCAACTAATATCTTGTATGTATACTGTTGTACTTTGTTTGTTTCATAGATACGCCTAAAATTAAGCTAATTCTAATTATTATCTATTTTAATTGCCTTTTGCGGTTGACCAGTAATGGTATTATCATTGTGTTAAACTTGATACTGGTCATTTATGTGTATCACTACACTAAACACAAAAAATAAAAGGCGAAATATATAAACTGCCATTTGAAGTTGTCCTTAACGGTCAAACAAACACTTCAAGTGACCCATTTACCATTTTGACACTTCAAGTGCCTGTTAAATGCATCTCGTATACACTTCACACTGACATGGCAAGTTACGTATATTTTAGTTACATTTGGGCGCGTGAGTTTTTCATCAGACTTTTTCTTTCTTGATTTTAGGATTGAATTAAAATTTGTAAGTGGGTCCCACGGTATATTATCATTTTATAATATCAAAATATCTTTTGGGCATTGATCTGAAACCCAAATTGTGCCCTTTCGTTGTCCCTACCAGCTAGGTTCGCCGGAAACCACCCATTGGGTTCATGGTAGGAGGCCGTATTTGGGTTTGACTTCAGATCTTCTTGGTTGTGATTCGTCTGATTATCAATTTTTTACTGAAAATTGATCGAAAAATATGAGGTTTCTGTTTTGTGGCAAAGAAGATGGCGTAGCTCCGGTGTTCGCCATGGTAGCAACATTCCGGCGAAGCACCACATCTAAACTCTTCGGCTTTGTTTGTGTCTGGTTTTCCCGCTTTTGTTACTGTCCGTTCTTCATTTTTTCTCTTCATAGGTTATCAGCAAAATTAAAAAAGGAAGGTCCTTACTTCACAGGAAACTGTCACACCTCCTTTTTTACACACCTACCCCGAAGGATAAATGTATAAGGGAGTTTTTCCATTTAAAGTGACATTATTCGAAATGAGATTATTTATTGCCTTTTAGAGTCGCCACTTGGGATAGGATTGACTTTTGGTGTCCCAAGTCACCGGTTTAACTTGAATCCCAAATCGAGGAAAATTTCGACTTCCCAATTGGAGTCTGCGAACCAGAAATTCTGAATAAGGAATTCTGTTGACCCGAGGGAAGGTGTTAGGCACCCCCGGATCCCGTGGTTCTAGCACGGTCGTTAAATTATTATAATTGGCTAAAAATCTGATTTTAATACATGTTTTAACTTATGTGCTTTTTAAATTTAAAACAGCTTTTATTATTATATTTTAATAAGACTTGCAACGTCGTGAAAATGTATCTCAAGCCACGTCGCACCAGTATGCCCGTGATTTTTGGCACATTTCGACTTCGTTGAGATTTGGATTTGGGTCACATAAATGTGCACCCGAGTTTAGGAAAGTAATTTTATTAAACATGCGCCTAAAGCAACTACGCGTTGTTAACTTTGCGGGAGGCCATGGAAGTTTGCTAAATGGCACATCTCGATTTCTAATTTCCAAAGGATTTTATTATTCGAAGTTGTTCCAATCGGGTTACATGAAATGCACCCCGATTGAGATTCACATATCGTAACCATGCCACAGGAACCGTACCCATAGCCACTAACAAATCATGCCACTATCCACTATCAAACCACCATTAAACCCAACTTCTATTAATTCAACTTAAAAAATCCAAGGCTTAATGAACTTAACAGTATTGTTTCATTAATTTCTCGTTCAACTTTAAGGGACAAATTTAATAACAAGAGATAACACTATATGCTCATGAGATCGCCAAACTACAGCTCCCAAACATGCAGGTTTTAATCAAAAGCTTTAAAACGCAGAACAAATAAACGAGGACAAGAAGATCGACTGAAATAGCAGTAGTCCAAAAGAAGAACGGACCACACCCATCGAAAATATTCAACAAAATCAAAATAACAACACATTAATACAATACACACTGTATCAGAAACAAAACATTCCTAAACATTGTAACAGAACCAAGCATTCATACATTGTAGCAAAACAAAACAAAATGAAAGAAATAATCTCACATTGAACTTTGTAGAAGTGGAATTAATCACTGTCAACCGGGTCAAAAATGGAATACTCGAACAGAACTACGATCCAGACCTCAAAGCTCGCCGGAACCGCGACAAAATTCAAAACAAACGGACCTCGAATCGGCACCTCTGATTTGCTCTGTTTGGATGCTACTTTCCGGACTGTTTCGCGGAGGTTTCAAACAGATTTCATAGCTGTTGGACGAAGTTTCATGGCTGAAGCTACGATCGCTTTGGGACGAGCTTCAGCGGCACTGCTCTAGAATGTGGAACGAAGATCAGAAATGGGGAGGAGTAAATGGTTGCTGCTCGTTTGGTTGAAAAAGGGGGCAGAACCGATAGGGAAGGGGTGTGAGTGAAGAGGGTTATGGGGTCTGTTGGTGTTTATCGTCGATGAAGAGATCGGGGGTCATTTGGAGAAGATGACGCGGGGAAAAAGGGGGGGGGGAGTCTCCTGGTATTGCGGCGCTGATCAGTTTGTTTTCAGATTGTCGGCGTCTTTTTCTTGTTGTGTATTGCCTGATTGTATATTTTTAGTGTGTAGGGTGTGTTTGTGGTGTAGGTAGTATTATATAGGGTAGGGATTAGGTTAGGGGTATGGGCCTAGGAACTATGGGTTAGGAATTTTGGGCCAAAGACTAAAAAATGGACTATAAGATTTATAAAAACGGGATAAACCAACCTAAAACTAATTCTTTCTTCTAAAATTATGTACAATTATAATATAAAAATATAAGACTAATTTTAATTAATTGAACTAAACTATAAAACATAAAATTATTTTTTTTTTTGTTTTCAAGATTATAAAAATAAAGATAGGGTACTATTTTGGTAATTTTTTTTAAGATTAAAAATGACTATAAAATATTAATAAACCTATTTTTTGTAATTTTTTATTTTCTTGTAATAAAATTAAGTAAAATAGTAAAAATTAGTTGAAATGGCGATATTAGGCCTAAACTAAATATTTACATGCTAAAATGGGTAAAATTTCGGGGAGGGTAAAAAATCACATGTCAACAGAAACTGCGCCGGAAATTGAAAAAAGGGATGTTAAACCTTCTTCTTACCGTGCTATCCTCCAGGGAAATTGGAAATTTAGATTGTACTCTAATTAATCAATGGTGGTTGGAATTTATGTTAGGAATCTATCTTTACTGTAAGACTATGATAATGGATTTTCTCTTTGAAACAAGGAAGAAGATGGGTGACACAGAGGGTTCTTTTTCTTTAATTGTTTTTTTAAATTATATGTGTGAAGTTTTTATTATACATTATACGTGTCATTTTTTAATTGGTTTATTTTCCATGTCACTGGCAAGTGTAATTCACTCGCACAGTTTGTTGGACTCGGGTATTTAATTGATACTCTTAATAGGCACTTGAAGTGTCAAAATGGTAAATGGGTCACTTGAAGTGTTTGTTTGACCGTTGAGGACAACTTGAAGGGGCCGTTTATGTATTTCGCCAAAATAAAATAAAAGAAAACATAAGTATATATCGCCGTAATGACATGAAAACTTAGCTTGTCATAAGTGAACTAGAATATATACTAGATAGGTTTCATGTAAAAGAAGGAGAATAAATATATTGCAATATTTGTCAATGTCTAGACATGTACATCTTTCGTGAATTCCTATAGTTATTTGCTCTTTAAACCTTTGAAATCTACGTTGTCTATGTCTCTAGTGTTGGCTTAGAGGAGTTTGAACTCCTATAAATTTAATTTCTCATACACCAATTCATACAACTCAGTAATCCCTTCCTATTTGAGTGTTTTAATTTCTTGGTTAACCTCAAAATATATACAATGATTAGATGTGTCGTATTCCTCGTTCTTCTCTCAATTTGGGCTAGTGTTGAAGGTCGAAGTATCACTCGATTCTTAACAGAAAAATCGACAGGGACCAAATGGGCTGTCCTAGTTGCTGGCTCCAATGGATGGTGGAACTACAGGCACCAGGTTATTATCATCGATACCAACTATATTTCCTCCAAATTATCTAATTTTTGTTAATATAATTAATTTTCCAAAGCGTTGTAATGTTATACTTGTCATTATGGTGGTTAAATAACATTATCACTTACTTTACAAATTGTTAAACATTCCTTCACAAGTTTGAACTAAAACGTGCTTATTTTTAGACTTGAGTGAGAGTTGAGACCTTATACCGATAGAGCTCCTACCTTCCTCATTTATTTTTGTATAGCAAACGGCAAAATGACCATGTATAAAACCACGTAGAGTAGAAAGGATAAGAAACTTCTCACAAACAAAAAAAAAAAAAAATTATATTGGATGGACTTTTTTAAACCATTATTTATATTTTGATCCCATTAAATTTTTATTTCAGAAAATATCCCCCACGTCAGAATTTTAAAATACGCTCGTCAGAATTGTGAAGCACTCGCTAGAATTTTGAAGTACAAAAAATTATGATGATCACCAGAATTTTCAGCGCCAGAATTTAGAAGCACCATAAATTATAATGATTACCAGAATTTTCAACCGTAATACTGAAAAATTCTAGTGATTAGTCAGGATTTGTGGCAAAATCCTGACGATCACCAAAATTGTTGCATGATTTAAAATTCTGGCTACGAAAAAAATCCTGGTGAGTGAACTTTAAAATTGTGGTGGAATTTTTTTTTTCTAAACTTCAATTACCGGGGTAAAAAACTAATAGTGACAACGAAGTGTCCCAACTAAAAAAATCCAAAGGTAGTCATTCTATGAGTAATTTATTTTCTTGGAAAATTTAGCTTTTGCCTCGCTTTGTAATCCTCTTTCCCAATTGTCTTCCCCTCCCCCCTCCCCCCATATGTATGAAAAACGTTTTTAAAAAAAAATCTCATCTTTGATCTTTTATTTCGGACTAATCATTCCGAAATAATTTCAAATAACCAGATATTCCTAAACCTTTTGCTTGTATCAACTTACGTTAAAAGATAGTAAAACAGAACAAAAACAAGTATACGTAAATCATAGGAAAGATTAAAAACAAAAACTATTTTGCCAGAGAAATATGAATGTTATTTCTTATTTTTCAGGCTGATGTATGTCACGCATACCAATTACTGAAGAAAGGAGGTCTGAAAGATGAAAACATCATCGTATTCATGTACGATGATATTGCTGACAATACAGAGAACCCTAGACCTGGAGTCCTCATCAATAATCCACATGGTCAAGATGTTTATCAAGGTGTTCCTAAGGTTAGTATTTCTCTTTTTCGAGATAAATTCCTTGAAACTTTTCCCCAAGATAATAATGTTTAATTGCTTACAACAACAACGACGACCCAGTAAAGTCCCACTAAGTGGGGTCTGGGGAGGATAGTGTGTACGCAAACCTTACCTCTACCCCGATAGGGCAGAGAGGCTATTTCCGATAAACCCTCGGCGTAATGTTTAATTGCTTATGAGGGCTTATTTTTGCTTGAGGCAGGATTATGTAGGTGAAGATGTGAATGCTGACAATTTTTTCAATGTTATACTTGCCAACAAAAGTGGTATCACTGGGGGTAGTGGGAAAATTTTGGACAGTGGCCCAAATGACAATATTTTCATCTATTATACTGATCATGGTGGTCCTGGGATTGTTTGTAAGTAGCTTCTTCACATTATTTCTCTTTGTTTTCTGCATAACTTTTGCCTAGTTTAATATTTTGTTGTCACAATGGATTCACATACTAAATTGAAGTTTTACTTGTGGGAATTCCCAATTTTTTGGATTATCATTCACTCATTTTGTTATCTTCAATATCACCTGGTGTTTGGAAACTAATCGAAGTATTTGTTTCATGCTTTTATTACAACTACCAGCAATGCCAACTGGAATTGTCTATGCGAACGATCTGATTAACGTGTTGAAAAAGAAGCATGCTTCTGGGACATATTCTAAAATGGTAACTATCTTATGCCGGTCTTTACTATTTAAGGCCATCGTTTCGTTGGCACGAATTTTTTTATTCCAGTGAAACTTGTAGTCTAATTTTATGTTGGATGATGTTTTTAAATTTTCAGGTATTTTACTTGGAAGCTTGCGAGTCTGGAAGCATGTTTGATGGTCTTCTTCCCGAAGGTCTAAATATCTATGTCACGACTGCATCAAAACCAGATGAAAACAGTTGGGGAACGTATTGTGGTTTAGGCCGTGGTGCTTGTTTAGTTGAGTGTCCTCCTCCCGAGTTTGACGGTGTTTGCTTGGGAGACTTGTACAGTGTTGCTTGGATGGAAGACAGGCATGCACAACTTTATTCTTGTCCCCTTGAGAGTCTGATTTAGGATTTAAACTTAAAAGGTGACATTTAAAATCATCTTCATTAATTATGCCCAAACTTATTGTTGTTTGCACCTCTGAACAGTGATGTCCAAGATCGACAAACTACAACGTTGGATAACCAGTATGACAGGGTAAGAGAGCTAGTAATACTTTCAACTAATGTATATTTGTAAGCAACTTGTTCAAAAACTTGAAGATCATAATATTGTCACAGGTTCAAATACTTTATGCTATATTGATTTATGCTTTCTTGTATTGCCTGTTCTAAAGGAAAACTAATGATTTCATTATATGGACATGCTCAGATTGCAAATAGAACTGCAGCCAACCTAACATATGGTTCCCATGTCATGCAATATGGTGATATGGAGTTAAGTGTTGATGCTCTTTTCCAGTATATGGGTTCTGTTTCCACAAGCCATAGTCAAGCTCCCAGTCCCATGGCATCTGCTCCCAGTCCCATGGATGCCGCGTCATTCTTGACATCCTCAGAAAATGTGAACCAACGTGACACTGAACTTTTCTACTTGACATCCAAAGTATGTTGTTTCTGATGTGGAATTTTCTTCCTTGCCCACATGATTGATTCCGATTCATATTAACTGGTCACTTGGTATGTGTGTTGCACGTATTTCAAGATAGAAAAAGAGAAATTATGATTCATTCTTTCTTAATGTTGGCAGTACCAAGGTGCTCCTGAAGGATCTAACGAGGAATTTGAAGCTAATCGGAAGCTTAATGAAGCTATATCAATGAGAAATCAAGTGGACAACAGTGTAAAACGTCTTGGAGAGCTTTTGTTTGGAGTCGAAAAAGGTAATGAGGTGCTGCAGAGTGTTCGACCTGCTGGACAACCACTTGTTGACAATTGGGATTGCCTTAAATCCTATGTAAGTAGTCAGCCTAATTATTAATATTTTGTGGTACTTTACTTGAATTTCTCTGTTAGTTCGTTTGTTGAGAATGTGACAAGTCTTTTCTCATGAATAGGTCAAGACATTCGAGGCACATTGTGGAAAATTAACCGCGTATGGGAAGAAACATATACGTGGTATCGCCAACATATGCAATGCTGGAATTGAGAGTGAGGAGATGGTTGCTGCAACTGCACAAGCATGTTCAGGTTAATTAGTAGAGGGTACTCTCGGCAAAGAGATCAATAAGTATATGTTTGGCCAGTTTCTGTCATGGCTGCAACATTTCACTTTGAATAGATAGCAACAATGAGAATATAAGCACATCTTGTCCAGTCTCGGTTAATAAGTCAAATAGGAACTTCTGAAGTGTTCGGATATGTAACTTGTCCTTTTTATCTGAACGAATTTGAATCGAAATCATGAATGAAGAAATAAGCCAAGACACAAAAAGTCTTGAATTGTCATTGAGAAAGTATGAATGTTTTGCCTTTTTCACATTTGACAAACCGTCATGTAATTATCACAAAGGGTAAGAGAAAAGGTAGGAACATAAGCCAGAAACAATTGGAGTAATTTAAAAATTTGTGTAAATAGCCTCGACACGTAACTTTGGTAAACAAATCTTGCCAAATTGACAAAACCTGTCTTATTCATAAGTAGACGAATTGTCTACAAAGTTCCACTGAATGTGCAAAACTTGACTTGTTCACAAGTTATGACGGGCGGGCATAACTTGTACAAATTGCTCTCAAGTTCTGTCGAATAGCAAATTTATCTGTATTATTTAATTGTTCATAAGTTTTGCTGGACTGACAAGACTTTTTACTACCTCTGTTCTATCCATCTTTTTAACTTTTCACAAGTTTCGATGGATAATGGATTGACAAAACTTGCATATGTTATTCAACTATAACAACGGCCAACGAACACTCGGAATTGCAACTGCCATAACTTTATCTTAATTATGCCCAACCGGGCATTGCAAGTGCCTTATTTTCATACGAAAATGCCTTCCATCCCACCACAACTTTAGACTACGCTGAAGCCGCAAAAGAAGAATTCAGTATAAGCAGAAATGCGTATACCAACCACAATTATGAACTTTCTCAGCCTTCAATACGTCTACTTAATCCAAACTTATTGATTGGATATGCATTAATTGTATAGGAACCAATCATATAATATAGGGTGGTAAAATGGTTAAAAGAAAACAGTTAACCACTTATATTATCCACTAAAAAATGGATTGAATAATGAACTTTTTAAAAACGAGTCAAATACAGATAAGAACCATATTATCGTAAAAATTGCACGGGGCGCCCTATTTGGGCGCCCCCTTTTAACCTGTAGCCGCTTTGTCTTTCTGTTTGCACCCGTACTCACTTTTTAAAAAACTTCAGCTTCCCTTTCTCCTCCCCTTCTCCTCCTCCTCCTCCTCTTCTTCTTCTTCTTCTTCTTCTTCTTCTTCTTCTTCTTCAATACCACAGTTCTTGCTCTTCACTGTAGTTAGTGTTTGAGATAAGCCTTTACAATAGAATATGAGATTGGAACTTGCTAGTTTCATGCTTTGCGGTAACTGAAGAAGATAGATTTTCTGGATTTAGCTTTGCACGATATGTAATCGTCAGATTTTCATTGACCATTCTAAAAAAATTTTAACGGAAATAATATGTAGCTACTTAAACATGAT